CGCCAAAAACAAAACAAGCCTGTAACTGACTGTGGTTTAAAACATTTAGGTCTCCTGTGTGGAGAAGTCCTCAAACTTTAGGCCTGACCACTAGAGGAAATGGTTTCTAAACTGATTGAAATCTGCAGAGATGTTGAACTTTCATTGATCTGTGATGATATTGTGCAGACTAAGTATAAAGCTGAGGATTCGGTCTTTGTTATATTTTTAGACTGGTTGAACTTGCTTTGTTTTCTGTGCAGCCCACATCTGAAAAATGAGCTGAACAACAAACCTACCTCACTGCTATGTATTTAATTCACCTCCCCCCAGAACGTGCTGTCAGATCTGAGCTTTCACAATCCCATCTCTGCTAATGATCACAAAGGAGTTGGAGGTAGCAGAGCAGCCTGTAGACACAGTTATGCAGCTCATCAAAAACAACTAATAAACTAGGTGCAATAGCCAGAAAAACAGTGATATAATCAGTCATGGAGTGGGAGGGGAATTAACACAAACTGATATTAAGGCTGATTAAATGAGAAGACTTTTCCATAGTCATGAATATCTTTGGCGTTGTAGTCCTTTTGACACAAATTAATCAGTTGGAACAATGCAAAAAAAGTGCTGATTTAATGAGTCACACTACGATGTGAGGAGGAAGATTCTTTAATTTTACTATATTTGAGACATGAAATTCCTCTCTAAAAAAACACCTTTCTTGTGCATGCCATATGGAAACAAAATGCATGTTTTAGAGAAATTTTCAAACCATTTTGGCAAATCATTTTGCCCAGTTGTGTGTTTCAGGTCACGCAGACAAATAAAACAACCTTACATGCCCTGTTCTGAAACGCTTAAGGGTAGCAGCTCCCAAATCTGAATATGTGCTCATGCAACAAGTATGACCCAGCCAGATATTCCCTGCTGAACTTGTTACCTGCAATTGTCAGAGATTTCTGGAAGGCAGAATTAGCAGCACATCCTCTCAGCTCTTAGACAAGTTCTTCTTAAATAAAAGTCATTAACAGACTTCTAAACATCCTGGGCTGTTGCACCCATACATCCCCATTGATGGACAGGATTCTCCCCCATATATTGCTGTACAGGGTGGGCATAATATAAATTACATAACCAAATATGAAACAATTATCCCTACATCAAAAACTTGGCAGGACTAATCACCCATTCGTCTTACTTGTTTAGCATTGTGAAGCTAAGCACGTTACCTTTCTATGATTCCTTCAGTAGCTCTTACAAGAGAGGTCTCACACTAACTAAAGAGCAGTTTTGTTCTGACGAATGACTGTGTAAAAGTGGTATCAGTTTGAGAGAATTGATCATGGCAAGGTCTCTGCATGCTGGGCTTCAGTATCCTGTGCTCTGGGATGAGATGGCATTTCTCCTGAAGACTTGTCCTAGTATTTAAAATATTGTCCAAGAATGCATTCCATAGGCTTATTTTCCTTTCTTTTGCGATCCAGGACAAGAAGAGCTTCTTTTCAGTTCCAGTGTAGATTTTAAAGCTGTTGCGAAACAAGCCTGGTTTGTGCCTGCTCAGTTGAGAAGATTAGATAATTTAATAAATGGATTGTTTTTGTGGAACTTCCGTGACTGCCATTTACTCAGTATAGTGCTTGCTTGCTCACTGGATTTTGCAGGCAGCATCTTTCTGGCTTATGCTGGCATTATTTGTCATTAACGTTTAAAATTAGTTCTTGAAAGGAAAAGCTACACTATGCAGTCCCTGCTCCATTTGTAAAAAGCTTTCAGTGCATTTAGGCCAAAGAGCTACAGCTGCAATTCTGTGGAGGTAGAAAAGGGGTGTGTGTGCACTTGCGTGTTTTGCTCATTGTGAGACTAAAATCTTTGCTCTTGATGGTCCAAATTCTATCCCAAAATCTTAAAACCTGCTTCACCTACAGCTTTGCATTCTTTATGTTTTCTCACTTTGTCCAGAGTAGGAGAGAGGAGCATGCTCTTTCTTGCTCCAGTTCTATTCCACAGAGTATTGTGGCTCAGGTTGGATTCCAAGTGCTTGAAGTGAAAAGGGCTTTTCTACTTTCAAATCTCAATTAAGAAGCCAAAAGCTAGTGTGTGAGAAATACAGTAGGTTTTCCTGGCAGCTTCTTGCATTAGTTCAGCGGTGTAAAGCCATGCCTCGTTTCAGCTCCCCAACCTGCTGCTCAGGGAATGATGGGATTCCTTTTAACCACACCGCTTAATTTAGCATCTGAGTTTTAAAGAACAAAACAAAACTTGAAAATAAACCTACACCCAGAACTCTGACCATGTAGTGGGAGGCTCATCCAGCTCCCTCTGTCCTGGCTTGAGAGAGGTGAAGACCATGGGTCATAACTTAGCCATACGTTGTTATGTAGAATTCCACATTAACTTGAGTGGGGAGTCTTGCACATAGACCACTGACATATGTGGTCGCAAGTGAATCACAAAACGAGGGCCCAGTCCATCAAACTGCTGAATGCCCTCAACTACCACTGATTGCAATAGGTGAAGCGGGTGCTCAGCAAATGAGAGAGTCGGGGCCCTGAAGCTATTGGTCTTCTAAAAAGAAGTGGGGTTTTGTGGCGAAGGGGAAGAGTCCGCTCTGTTTATAAAGCGCACACTGTGGATATGGGGACTATCCTGTCTCCTGAGTGGGAGGAGAGGTGCTGTGGCAATGACTGGGGAAGGTGGCATGGGAATTAACTGTATCCTGTGCCTGGCTCTTATCTAGGTGTGCCAGGGGGAAGAGGGCACAACTTCCCCCACATCTTGGGCTCCTTGTGCAAGGGACAGGCACACTTGCAGTCCCTGTAGTTGGGGGTGTGTGTCTCTCCAAGGGAATGGGAGATGGACAGATCACACACAAAAAGGGCCCTTCCCAACACCCCAGCTCAGCAGTCTCTAAAGAAACATAATGAACCTGTCAAACGGTTTTGAGCAATTGGGTGTTATTTTTGTAAAGCAAGGACTTCCTTGAAAAAGCTTCTCACTTCTGAAGTCTGCAGATTCTGTTTAGTGTCCATGTGTAAATAGTCACATTTCATTTTATTTCACACTTCCAGCTAGGTGTGATAGTCTGTACTTATTGTCCTAAACGGTTTAGTGTTGCTGTGTCCAGTTGCCACATTCTGCCCCAGAGCTAGCAGTGTTTGGATGGTGAGTGGCATATAACCTATTTAAGTATTTTGTTGAGCACTTTGTAAATTGCTTTAGACTCTTTTGGGATGAAAGGTGCTATGTAAATTATGTATTAGCTACCACTATATCACTCTCAGGCACAGAAAGCATCAGAGTTCAATAAATACTAGCACTAGGGCTTGTGGTTACCATGTTGCTGAAATAGCATAGCATCAGCAGCAGCTTTCTTAATACTTTTTGCCGAGCAGACTAAAGTGGAAGAACTGAAAAAAGGTAATTAGAGCCATATGGTTTTGAGGCACAGTTCGCTGGGGTTGGTTTGAGGTCTGAAGCAATGTGCCTGCAGATGTTTCCTTTCATCTGTCAGTTCAAGCAGGAGAAAGAATGAAGAGTTGTTCTTTAAAAAGTCAGAACCACAAACCTGACCCTCTGAGAAGTGGAGGAACATGAAAGGAGGGAGTAACACAGCTTTACTGATGCTCACAGAATCCAACATTTATTTCCCCAAAGGCAGCAATGATCCAGGTTGTAGACATGACATTAGCACTACTTGGATACTTTTGTTAGCATTCTCACATCTCATGTGCTAAAGCAGGATTAGGGCAGTTCATTGTTCGAATGGGAGACCTCCAGGGAACACTCAGATGCTAAGGGAAGTCGTGTTTGTAAGAGATTCTGTTGATGGCTCTCTTCCTTGACTGCCCCTCGGTGATATGGGAAGTTGTAGATGTCCTCAGCTGGGTGGGAAGTAAAGCTGAGGTTCTGACAGTTTGTGGTCATTAAAGATCCCACAGCAATTTTTTCATCAGATTTTGACCAGGACAGTTGAACATTCTGCCTCCCTGAATTCCTCCGGCCATTTCAGTTGTACGTATTATGCTTCACTTCTTTCCTGTATGATTTCATAGTGGTGGTGTGTGTTGTTAAAGCTCTTAACACAGCTGCTGTGTTTCACTCAAAGGGATGCTGCAGCAATCCTGGTTTATCCCTTACTTACATCTTAGGGTATTGTCATGATTAATAAATTATTTATGAAGAGCTTAAAGATTTGTGAAATTAAAGACTATAGGAGGGCGAAGTATCACATCAGAAATGCTGAGGTTGACGTGTTTACCTAATGACATCACTGCCTTGCAATATTGTGCATGGAACAAAAATACAGAGTTTCTTGTCCAAACAGTAAAAAGGATTTGAAGGAAACACCTGTAACTATGGTTAATATGCCAGTTGCTTGTTGAAAGGTGTATTTCACCAGACAAGCACATTGTGCAAAATCCACAATTATTACTATTTTGTTAAATGGCATCCTCGTTCCAGTCTCTTAAAATGTGTGTACTTAAAAAACAAAACAAAAGCACACACATAGTCCTCTGCAGAGCTGGTTTCAGTGCAAATCCTGTGTTGTGCTTAGCAGTTAGAATGAGCTGTTTGCCAGCAGTCTGAACTGGTGACCATCCCCCCTGGGCTATCTTGGAAAAGTTCTTGAACATGCCGGCTTTCACCCCGTGAGCTGAGGATGAAAAGAGAGTCTGAAAGCTGCCAGTATTTCTCTCTGGAGCTACAAGGTTTTTGTTTCCAGGGGTTGGCAGGGGGGTGCCTTGGGGGTTGATCCAGAACATGACCAGTTAGGAAAGGAAAGAACAAAACAGACTTTGAACTCAGAGATAGAAGTAAAACTTTTTTTTTGCTTTCTCTATTCTCTTGAAATAAGCTGTCTAGGGTCATGAGTTTCTAAACTAATGCAATAATTTTAGAAGGGTGTGGGGGGATGTATGCACAGATAGATTTCTCAACTGTTTTTTTGTTAATTTTTAGATCAACAACTGGGCTTTTCTTCATTTCACCTGAATGAACTAATGCTGTCTCTCATCCCACAGGATCTGACAGGTGGAGGATTTGAAGAAAACTTGGCCACACTAGACTTGAAAGAGGGACTGGATTATCATCATTTCAACTGAACACTGAGGTACAGCAGTGAAATTGGTGCTTTATGTATCCTGAGTGATATGTATGTTAAAAGCAAAACTGTGTCCAGAGAGGGTTAGGTTTTGTAGTTAGTAATTTGAACTTCACCCAATGTATCTCTTCTAATCATTTATTCTTTTCTAAAGGCAGGATAAAGTTATACCTTTGATATCTATATTTACCAGTTGTTAATATGGCACATAACTGGCTTAGCAGTAAGTTTATAATCGTGATTCTTCCTGCTTATTATCACAAAAACAATAGTGAAAGTGCTATTTTTGTTGCTAATTTTAAGTGTACAAAATTTGTTACTGCTGCTTATACTCTTGGTGTAAGTAGCCCATCCAGTATTATCTATTAGATTACAGAGCAAGCTGCTACCATAAGAAAACATTAAAGCCATAGCAAACAATGTACACAGCAGTTTAAATGTTCACAACAATGAAAGTGTTTAGAGACCTTGGTGACTCAGGTTCTGTCCAGAGTGGTCAGGGGCCCCAAGCCATTCCCTGGAGTTGGTTAATCTCCTGCTACTGACAACAGCAGCTGGTGTTTCCTGAGGTAAAATCTTTGCATTACTGCTTTGTATCTATGTGAACTGCTAGTGCTGAGGGATTAAAGAGGCCCTAAATTATGGCATCCCTGTGATTCAGGCGTTTTAGGAGTACAGTGTATATGGGAAGTGATTTGGAAGCCAGAGGGTAATGTATATAGATGCTCAGAGCTTTCATGCAGCCTCCTATTGTGTATGCTTAAAAATAAGTAGATTTTTTCTAACATGGAAGTAACATTTTTCTTGCACTGGGGACCTCAAGTTATAACTTTGCTCAAGAAGGAACTAAACCTCAGGTCAGCTTCTGCTTTAGACTATCCCTCAAGTGAAATATGCCACTTCGTGGTTTATTATATGTGAATTAACATAATCAAGAGGTAATTTACTTTACCTAGGGATTCCGGGACCCGAGCTTGACACATTAGATGGGTCTGATTCTAATTGCATAGCTCTTTATAAAACTTAGACCCATTTAAGGTTTCTTAAGTAGGCCACCTAAAATCACTAATTATTTTGGAAAATCTCTACTCTGGTTAAGTAACAGATATTTTGGTTGCTAGTTACGCTACTTATTTAATCACAGAATAAAGGGTTGTCTTAGTTACTGTTGTTCCCTTATCAGTATCTTTATCTTTTGTGTTCATCTTTCTTGTTCGTTGGGTGATTCTGACAGCCTGAGAATTGCATAGCACTGAGGGGCCATACAGTATACACTATCTTTTGACTTTTTTCTCTGTCTGCATGATACAAGGCTGGACGCCAAGAAGTGTTGCCTACTTGAATGTTAGTTGGTCTGAGCTGGTGTAATGGCTCACAGCACCCAGAGCCACTCCCTACCAGGCTGTATGTTATACCATCAATATACTCAAATTTAATACAAAAATATACTAAGTTCAAATTCTAAAGAATTCCAGCAAGTGCTGTCACTCTGTTAAGTAAAAGGGTGCTGCTGTCTTTGCTTCCTTGACCAGCTGTGCAGAATTTAATTATAAAATCTGTGTGGAGAAGAGTGCCTCCCCACCTCCAAAACTCCTGGTTAATAATGGTTCCTTTCAGAAAAGAGGCCTGTAACTTTGAGCCTGCCTCTCCATTTCCCTGCTATTGCCATGCATACCCTGTTTTGAATTGATTAATCAATCATGTGCATCACTTAACTCTTGTTCCCAGGACCCCATCCCTGCTTCAGTGTTTATAATTCCATGTATAGATTATCAATACTGAGACCCCCATTCCATTGCCCTCCCCAGTTGCTGATCATGTTCTGTGCTTCTGGTAAATATTTCTGATTTCCCAGTTACATGTAAAACAGCCTGAAATTGCAGTGTATGCCTACCAGCTAGAAGCTGAGGAAAAGGCTATTATAAATTCGCAATGTTTATCCTTTGCTGCTCAGAATGTAATATTTACATGAAAAAAGTGGCTGTAGCTTTTTTTCTAGAATAGTACAGAAAAAGGTGTTCTTAGCTTCTCACACCATGGGATTGGTAACTAAACCCCTAAGGCCCAGATTTTCAAGAGAGGGTGATCCCTTCACTAGAATTTTGCATTGTCAGTTTCTCGTAGAGAGATGAAATGGTTCAATTTTTATACTCATCCCACTGATTACAGGTGACTGCACAAAAGATCTCTGTAACTGCATATTATTTAAAACCAGATTGGGTACTGAGCTCTTTTGAAAATCTGGCTCTAAATGGCCATTTTAAATCCAGCCTGCTTTAGTAGTGGCTTTGTTTTGATCTCACTCCAATTAGCAGCATCCCTAACTATTATGCTGCAGCAGATTGGTGTCTATTCATTGAATTTCAATTGTGACCAGACTTGGTAATCTCAGCAAAGCTAAAGATTGTGAGAGCTATGGAGACCAAGTTTGTCACTCATAGAGGTGGGTCCTGTTCAGGACTGCGTACTTTGTCCTGTCATTTTCCATGTCATACCTGTTCTGTGGATTAATACAGGGTTTTGTGCTGCATGGCTGTGAAGCCAACCCCATTTTGGGAGTATTACCTTTAAGAGCCAATGCACAGAGGGTATTTCTCATTTGAGATTCATATGACTGTTTTTTTCATGATGATTGAATATTTTTATACCACAATCTTTATAAAACTAAAGCTTCTGACAGTGTGGGGATTCCATTGGAGCTTTAGCCATTTTGACCTTGATCCACAGCTCACACTCCTCCTTCGGAACATACCCTATAGCAAATCTTCACACACAAAAAAGTCCCATGCTAAGAATGGGAGTACAAGGATGAGAGTTGGTAATGAAACAGTAGTAGTATAGGGTTTTTTTGAGTCTACTTGGAAAGAAAAGGAAACATGTCAGGTTTATATAGCCACCTGCCAAACTGGGCTGCAAAGTTATTCTTACAGCCAACTATTATCTTCAGCTGGTACAATTCAAACAGTGGTTATACTACTTGCTGTTTGTTTCCAGTAGTGCCCATAACCATTCAGGTAGTGTATAATTGAGCAAAAAATGGTTGGTACACAACTTCCCACAAGGATAGGCATGAGAGAAGAGAGATGTCCATTCTAGACTGTGAAGGAACATACTCCTGTATTTCTGAAACCTAGAATTTTCCAAGCTACATCTCAATGATGATGAACCCTTCATAAGATTGTCAATTGCTTGATTATACTTGGGCAACAATTTAAAAGAAATATTTCTGTAAAAGTCTTTTCTAGATTCTAGTAATAAAGTGCTCTCTAAAGGACTAGTTAGTAATACATGATACAGATGAAGATTTTGTCTAATTCTGTTATCAGTGGAAATGGTTTATAGCCATGACTAACTCTAAAGTGCCAAGTCTAAACATTTTAGTAATCTTTTGTTTTTAGTTTAATTTTTCTGATTTAAATATATTTTGACACTTCTGTATTGATGTATTACAATCCATCTTAATTTTTCATAGATTTTAAATGAATGAGTTCACCCTTTTGTGGGGGAGGAGGAGGTCCTGTCTTGATTTGGCCCAGTGCTGTTTTTGCACCAAGCAAGGAACAAATGTTGCTATATGAGCAGTAATGGTCTAAAGGGATCTTGACATCTGTACCCTTAATCTGTGGGGATTTGAGATATGTCTGGGATAGGACCAAGATGCCACTATAACAGCAGTTTCCAAACTTTTTGAAATGCACCCCCAGAATTACAATTTTTGGTTGCGCCACCCCCGACAAAAAGAGGTGAGTCAGGGGGTGGACGTTGCGCTCTCTCCTCAAGCCCTGCTATGCTGGGCTGAAGCCCAAGCTGCATGTCATGGCTGCTCACCCGCTGCAATGTTCCTCTGGGCATGCGCCCCACAGTTCAAAAACCTCTGTTCTACAAGCTACACAGCCACCTTCTAGAAGGAGTGGCATTGGAGGTGTGAGCCATTCCTACACCTGTCAAGGTAGGTCTTCAAGGGTAGCGGGCCACTTCTTTGCAGTGTGTGTGTATTTGAGCTCTATCCCAAAGTCATTTTGGTATGAATATTAACAAAAGCTAGTTTTCTGGGCTTGTTCACTTATGCAAAATTGAAAATCAGGCCACGCTAGCATTTGGATATTTCGCCTTCCCTTCTGCTTCAGGAAGAGAACAATTTAATACACTTGTCACAAATAATTCATATATTTAACTTCCCTTGTGAATCTAGAGAAAGAATTAGTATGCTTTATAAACCCAGTCAAAAGAGCCTGTGCTATCTTTTTGTTTGTCCTTCTACTGTTGTATGTCACATAAGCTTAAAAATCAGTTTCCACACACCCCTCTGTTAGAGCAGAGCATGCTGCAAGTGCTTACTGTATAGTAGAAGAAAAGTGAGTGACAGGGTAAAGGTAGGTTTTCTCAACATCAAATGCAGTTATGGCTTTTTATAGTTGGCCTTTCTGTAGGGGAAAAAAATCAGCTGTTGTATCATTTCTTATTAGGTGCCTCTTTATGGAGAATGACTGGTTGCAATTTTGGTTTTGAAAATGCGGAATGAATTGATTCACTCTGTACAGAGAATAATGTAGTTCATCACTTTGTGTCCTGTGCTTGCACCCAGAAAAACAATGGGCTGTCTATTTTCAAGTGATGTCATATCAGTTGCAAAGTGCTAGTGGTATCATCAGTTAACAGTGGCTATTTCTCATCCACTTTCAGATCACCATGTTACCAACACTAGAATCATGGCTTGGGGAGACCTAGGTTGTTATTTTAATTACCTGTGCAGATACAACTATACAGTTCATTTTTTTATAAAGTGATAGTGCTGCATGTATACCACAGATAAACAATTGGTTTGCATGCACCAATACAGAGAGTTTAGTTTAGTATGTTGTAATACTTGTTTTGTGGAATTAATTTTTGAACATTAAGCTCAAAGTGAGCATTTTTAGCAGGTGTTAGTTTTGCTCGAGAGCTGGCCAGGTTCTTGGATATGCGAGCACTTATGTGGATGTTAAGTTAATTGGAGAACTGCAGCTTGCTTACAACAAACAAGGGTTTTTTAAATTGAACAAATGTTCAAAAAGAACCATCTCTGATATTCACAAACTGAATAATAAATGTGGTTCTTCTACCCCATAACCATGCCATTAATGGCATCTCTGAATTTGGATCTTCATGTTCAGAAATTGGCATAACGCACACATGAAGGGGGTGGAGTTTACATGAAACAACAAATAAAAAGGTTTACCTGTACGATCCTGTCAACTCTTAATGTAGCCTGCAATCACTGATCTATTTTAGAGGCCCAGGGGGCTGCTGAGAACGGATGATTGATTTTTAAAAATGTCTAACAGTAAGGGCAGTGGCTGAAGCACTGACCTGTCACCTCTGTACTCCGCCGTTGGAAAAGTGAGGTTCTGCTTGATGTCTCTTGAATTCTACCTTATAACACAAAGTCACCACTCATTTACATTAGTCGACAGTCTCTGTTTATTTTAGGCTTTGACCTTACCCAGAATGAAGATGGTCTGCTTTTGCTTGCAGACTATAAGTCAGGGTTGAAGGCAATAAAAGAACAGTTTATTGAGAGAGGTATTACCATTAAGTATTACCACTCTGAACTGTTACATTATCATCTTAAATATTTGTCTTGACCACAAGCATTATCCACAACTGTAAATGTATAATACACAAGTACAAGCTCAATGATTTTAGAGGAGAGACACTAATTCAGGTTTACTGAGGGGAATGCAAGACATTGGCATTCAAAAGCAGCTCAATTATGACACAGATCATGAGGACAAACTGCCATCTTGTGGCTACAGATAAATTTAAGAATTGAAAACATAATGGACCTTTGTTGCCTTCTTTATATTGTGGTCAGAGATACTGACAGATAAACAGCCTGCTTTTTCAATGGTATATCTCTGTGTGATGCTTTTGAACACGTGCTTTTACTCTTTACGTTAATTTTGTTAATCATATTTTGTAGCTCAGTCAAACTCCAGTTTATCAAGATGCTGCAGCACAGATCACTTCCTTCTTCATGACACAAGTGCCAGAGAGCTTCAGTTTTCAAAGCAACAGAGAACACTGACTGCATTACTATGCTGCACTCTACATACAGGAAACAAAAAAAGAAGAACTTATGAAATTCCTTTTAGGTAGGGTACTCAGCTACTTTTAATCCAGCTAATAACTGAATGCATGTTATCAACCAAAGCAAACTAAAGGAAAATAGGACTTTACGTTTTAAAAGTGAATTGTATTTTAACAGATGGTAAATATCACAACTGCTAGATTTAAAAAAAAAGACAGTTGAATCAACATTTAAAATATTATTCATCTGACACGTTTTTCAAAAAGATAAATAAAGTTCAAGTGGCTTGTATAATGAAAATATTCAAATGTTATGCCTGGCTTTATCTAATCAAGTTTGTTATTTTCCTCTACTTTTATGAAGCGAGCTCTCAGAGAAAGGTAGAATGTGGTGTGTCTTTTTTCTCATACACCCCCTACCCCCTTCCTACTGAAAAGTGTTTGTGTCACTGGATTTCACTGCTGTGAAACTCGTCCACTAGTAATACACCGTAGGTTGCAGGTGGGATTGTCATTCTTTAATACACCTCTACCCCAATATAATGCGACTTCGGATATAACACGGTAAAGCAGTGCTCCGGGGCGAAGGGGGCTGGGGGAGCAGGGCTGCGCGCTCTGGCAGATCAAAGCAAGTTCAATATAACGCGGTTTCACCTATAACGCGGTAAGATTTTTTGGCTCCCAAGGAAAGCGTTATATCGGGGTAGAGGTGTACTAGCAAAAATGAAAATAAGCTTGCAGTTTACTTGAAAACTTCTATTTGTTCTAGCAAGTGTTTAATTAACATTACTAGAAAACATGCGTAGGAAATAGTAAAGCACCAAATTCTGCCCTGAAACCTTAATGACTTTGATGGGATACCAAAGGAAAGATTTGCATTACAGTATTTGCAATAATATTTTCACACACACACACACACGTAGGTGCATCATATTATCTTGTTTATATCAAAGGATTCACTTTTCTTTCTAATCTTTCATCTAAGTCTCCAAGTTTTAAGAATAAAACTCACCTGGCTCTCAAGACAATTTTCTTACCAATTATTTATACCCTCTACATTTTGAAATGCTTAATCATAAAACTGATGAAGCAAAGAGCAGTCAACATTGATAGTAAAACAAGATTCTTAATCTCCCACTTCATTAAAACACCAGCTCTCACAAGTTTGGCTTTCACTTTAAACAAGAGTGATTTACCAGATGAGAACTTTAAGAATGTTTCTTTATCAAATTTACAAAATTATCTGTTCCAGTTGCTGTACAAATTAACTAACTGTATATCAAGGGAGTAAGAATCACTTCAGCAGCTGGTTTTCTTGGCCCTTTTACTAGCAATGTTTTCAGAACAAAACAAATAACTGGTTTTGTGACTTAATGTGTTACATGATTATTTCCATTCTGAACCTGGCTTCTTACAGCTCAACACAGTTGGGTTGTATCTCTACTTACAAACACCAGAGGCAGTTACGTCTTATCTGATGTTCCAGGGCTTGGCCACAACCCTTCCACCAGTATAAATACCTCCAAACTTGTGGGGGAAATTCTGCATTTTAAGTAAGAGCTTAAGTATAAATTAACAGCAAATCCTTACTTCCCAAAGTTTGTCCCCATTTTAACACATTTCTGTATCACAATCTTTCCCCTAGTCTGGGGCATAGAGAGCAACAAAGAAGAATGAATAGGGATTGAATGACAAATGGGACAAAAGAATGTTACCCTTTCCCAAAAGTAAGTAGTGTTAATCTATTTTAAATCCACAGCTGAGGGCATGCTCCTGCTGACATTTTCTTCTGAAGAAGAATGATGGGTTAAGCATGTGAGGTGTTGATGAATGACCAGGTAGCCATTTTACAGATTTTTGTTCTGGCTGCTGACCATGGAAGCGTTGAGTAGGTTCCAACCTCTTCTGCTGATGAATGTGCTTCAGTAACAGTATTTAATCTAGCTAAGAATGGATGATTTTAGATACTTTCAAGCACATGGATGTAACTTACAGGGAGAAGAATAAAAATGATGTTTTACTAAGCTAATTGAGTCTACTAAGGAATACTTGAACTGCTCTTCTCAGATCTGCCACATGGTGTTGAGACTTTGGGAAAAACAAAAGAAGAATTACCCTAGAGTCATCTGTACTCAAGATTAAGACCAGTCTTGTCCTCACAAAAGATGCATTATGGGTAGTATCTGAGAATGAAGATTTTGAAAACTCTTCTAGCTCACACGGTTGCAACGAAGAAGCATATTGTTATGGAAAAAGAATAAAATGCCATAAGTTTGATTGTGAGAGTCTTTGCATTGTAGACCGAATCTAGCTAGGGAAGAGGTTTGACTGCTGGTTGGACACATATGCTACTCTATGGAACCTCAATACCATTTGTTGATGTACCTAGAAATGTAGATGAGGTAGTGTGTTGAATGCAAAGTGATTGCTGAAATGCAATAGAAAGAGGTTGCAGGCCAAGTCTAGGCCATCCTCTAAGAAAGCGGTTCTCAACCAGGGGTATACAGAGGTCTTCTAGGGGATAGGTACATCAACTCATCTAGGTATTTGCCTAGTTTTACAACAGGCTACATAAAAAGCACTAGCGAAGTCAGTGCAAACTAAAATTTCAGAGACACATTGACTTGTTTACACTGCTCTATATACACTGAAATGTAAGTACAATATTTATATTCCAATTGATGTATTTTATAATTATATGGTAAAAATGAGAAAGTAAGCAATTTTTCAGTAATAGTGGGCTGTGACGATTTTGTAAACAAGTAATTTTTAAGCACGCAAGACAAATCAGATTCCTGAAAGGGGTATGGTAGTCTGGAGAGTCACTGCTCTGCCTTTGCAATATTGAAGTGACAGCATTTTGTCTCAAGTCTCACACAGGCAAAAGAGATGGAGAACCTGCAAGTCTTAAAAACCTAGCTGTCTACAATGAGATGCAGCATACAGCTCTGGTGTCGGAAATCCTACCAATTGGGGAAATGGAGTGGAGACCTCTGTGGAAGCTCAACTATCCCAGCATTCTTGGTGTCCCTTGATCTTCTCAATAGTTGAAGTGGGGAAAGGAGAGATTTGACCATCTGTGAACTAGAGTCTAGTCCCAGCAATTTTTGGTCCGCTTCCCTGATGAAGAACTTCGCCTTTACATTTTGGCTGGATTATTTTTGTTCAGAACTATTAGCTATACTTCAAGTATATGTCCCAATGCATGCTCCACCCTATTTGAGAATCTCACTGGAATATGGAGGTAAATGTCTGCTAGATCTTCCAGAAAGACTACAGTAGTCCTGAAATTTGTTTTCTTCATCAGGCTGTTCATACTCTTGCAGTCCAATACTGTTCCTGATACCTTTCTTCAATGATGATGATAGAAGAGAGCCCTGGAAGTGCCTTAAGGGACAAGCTCTATTGCTTTTGGTGTGGTTTGTTTCTCATCTGTTGAAGCTGCAGAGCCTGAAGCTCCAGATAATATTCATCTTACACTATCATCTCTCTGAACTGGATTGGAATCTGATGCCTGCAACACAGGATATCCTAACCTGGGTCCTATTTTTGAAGGGAAGCAGGCCCTATCGCAGTCACTCTGTTCAGATTGGAAGAAGAGTTCCATAAAATCCAAACTCTGAGCCTAGGTGTTTCTCCTGGAACAGGAAGAATCTCTACTCTTACTTTTGCTGTGAATAGGACTGAAATGAGATTCTGCCCCATCTGTCTCTGATCTCACAGGAGTAGGAAACTAATACTTTGTTCATATAATAAGTTACCATCTTATCAAGCTTCTCCATGAATGGGATTCCAACTAAGACTTTTGAGATACAGATAAATGTTACACTTGTCAGGGCTTAAGTCCAGAATTAGGGCCAGGACAACTGAGAGTCCATGCATCCTCTTTTTATGAATGCAGCAGCTACAGGTATTTCTTTAGGTATCAGTGAGTTCTTCTTTGTTCTGAGGGTAGAAGTTTTTAATTCATCACAGCAGGACACTGTAGCACTAGCAAGCATGTGCTTCCTAGTGACAGTAGGGCTGCTGAAGAGGCTGTGAAGTCTGTTCTAAGAACGGCATCTATCTTTATGCCTGCAAGGTCCTTTAGTAAGAAAACTCCCTCTGCAGGAATTACCTGTTGCATCAAGTTTAGACAGTGAAGAGTGCAGCTTTGAGTGACCTTGTAGAATTTCAGGGCCTGCCACCTGAACCATTTTCTATGCCTCCCTAACAATTTGCATGAAGAAGGAATGAAGGGGGAGGACAAGTGTATTTAATATATTTGTCCTTGGTTCTATTTAACCAAGTTCTATTTCTGCTTATCCTGGTGACCAACATCTTCCTCCCCGTTGTCTGACATATCTGGAGGAAAAGAACCTCGCTCATGCTTCTCTGGCTTAGGGTCACAGTGGTCAAAACAGAGTTCTCCTCCTGTGGAAGATGAGCTGTACTCAAAACTGTGCTGGCTTCATGTTGCATACTTCTGCAAATCTGGCCCATCAGATGTACATTAAACTGAGTAAGGAAATTCTTTCCTAAGGTTACATGTCGTCACTTCTCAGGAGTGCTTTATTTATTATGAGGTTTTAGAATATAACTTTCCTGAATCTTTCAATACCTTTTTTGTCCTAAATGCAGAATCAATTTATAGGAAGTCACATAAGTCATGGAATTTTAGTTTTGCTATTAAATTTGAAGGGGAAATTCTTACCATTCTTTTCCACAAAACACAGACACACACACTGTACACACAGGCATCTGTGCTACATTATTTCATGCTTGCATTGTCTTAGTAAGTTGAGCTTTACACCAGAAGTCTGGAATGTTTTCAAGGAATGGGATTGGAGGGTTTTATAAAAAGTGTTTTAGACAATTCCATACATTCTGTACTTATGTCTTAGGCTTGTAGCACAATCCCATGGGGCTTGGATTTCTAGATGTCATTAACAAGTACAGAATATTTAGTAAAATAACTGATGCTTCTAATTTTGTTTCTT